TTCTCTTAGAGTCTATTTCATCACCTTATGTATAATTTTTAACCCTACTCCTCTAGATATCATTCTTTCTTGTCCATGCTTGCTCTTGGTTACTTTCTTAGTGTTATTCGCTGTTTTAAATAGGAATTAGACGAGTTGGCCTGGAACAGCCAATGGCCCGACCGACACTATCGAGTCTTTCTTCGAGCCCCTGATTCTGTAGGCGAGCATTCCCACCTGTTTCATCTTCCTCCGCCCCTGGATCTCACAGATATAGCCCCGTCATCATATTCCACAAATCTTTCTGAGCATGGCCGTCGATTTCATGCCGAAATCCCAGTCCCTTACGTACTAGTCGACCGACATGTCGAAGTGGGTGTTGTTGCTGGTAACTCATATGGAGAAAGCCTCCCAAATGTCGGTCTAGCCAACTCCCTACTTGGCATACAGCTCGTCTTCACCGGCAGCCGTCGGTGGCAACAACAGCTACTATCCACTCACCTATACGAAGGTAGCGAACGATTTAGTGAATTATTCCATAAAGTGAAACCATACCACAGACAGGAACTCAGCTCGCCCAGAGACTCAACCCAACGATTGCAGGCTGACAGCACCGGTCCGGTTATTTCAGACAGGAACATCGCACTCAACTGGTTGTCTCCGGTTCCGGAACTGGTTCGCATGGTGTGCGGAAATCACCATCCTTTACGTCAATTGAGTTCAGTTGTCTGCCGTTGGAATCATCTCGAAGGGGGGCCTGGCCTTCTTGGCTTTCAGGTGAGCTGAAAAGCTGGATATTTTTGGAGAAGAAGAGCTATATATGTATGCCCCTAATCCCTTAATAGTCGTTCTCACATCTAAAAATTGGTATAAATATGTTTCTTTACCTTTTTGCATCTTTTTTTTCAATGAAGTACATCCGAGGCTCATTGATACGAAAATTTGGCTCTGCCTAATCTCGGAGGGAGAAAGAAATCTAGCTAAAAATAGAATTTACTTTTTACTAATTCATTCCATGTAGCCATGAGTACTTTACAATTTCTTCGCTATTTTTTATTAGTATTATAACAACTTTATCTTCATCTATTTAAACATTCTACCTTTATTTCTTGAATAAGAACTTTTATTTCTTTTAATCAATTTTAAGTGTTCTTTATTCCTGCTTCAGTTCACTTTGTTGTGACTGCTATTCTTGAAAACATGATCTTAAAAAAATATTCCAAAATTTATGAAGAATCAGCATTCTAGCTTCCATGCTTATTTATTTGATCTTGTCATCACGGTTAAAAGGCTATTATTTGCATACCTGTCGAGAGCTGCGAAAATCGACTCTAATGATTAACTTTATACTAGCCATCAAATTTATTATGTTTCGAACCTATAACTTATTCTTGAAGGCAAACTTTGTAATCCTTAGACTGATTGGGGAGTTTAACCCACAATGATGTTATTAAGCGTCAGGGTGCCGCTGAATTTCACCAAGCTTTTCATACAAAAATGTTTGCTCATTCTACCTAGACTGCAGGTTCTACCTGCATTACACTGAGTTACTGGTAGTCTCGAAACCCTACTTTAATACGAATACCTGCATATGTCCTATCTGCACCCATAGACCGATTCGAAATCGGGTTGCGTGCGTAAAATGGTGAAACGTTACCACCTCACTGCACAGCCATGAGCACAAGTGGATAACAAAGACCCAGGCATCTTCCAAATTAATTTTATATTAGGAAACAAACAAGTTTATTCTAATTAATAGTATGCTTTGAAAATATCAGTAATTCTTAAATATGAAAAAAAATTTCGGGGAAGCCTAAATGAAATTCAACTGCATCGGGGAGCCTATTCATATCATCGTGCGAAAGTCTCTACTTAACTCGTCTTGAAGTCGCCTTTGCCTCTCACTGTTTTATCAATCTTTTATCACTTCTATAGGTATTTTTAAAATTCCATTTATCTACGTTAGACAACCGTATGTCTACTTCGTTTTCTCCTTTTCCGTATTCTTTTTCAGTTTTCCGCAACTTCATACGGTTCGGCTGAACACTATTTTCGTCACCCCAGCAGCCTACTTCCAAATCCCCAGGTTATCTGGCACTTTCTTCCTCTCGACACCAGCCAAGTGATCATGCCTGTTCTCCCAGTCGCCCTCGAATCTGAGTTTGGGCTCGATTTGCCTGTTAAGAGTGCGACACGAAGCCTCCGATTGGCTCCTTTTCACATATACCGATTTTGTTTGCGTCCCATCTGGATTGTATCTAGCCCTCGGGAAAATAAAGAGGATAATGATACTACCATAGAGGAGGAGAATGAAGTCCAGAATGCGAATGCAGACGTCAAATTAGCCAAAACTGGCTTTGATCAATCAGCCATCTGCTTTCCTACCTTCTTCAGAAGGAAAATCAATCGTAAAATGTTAATTGATTGCACTCAAGACACACTCTACCAACCAGACTTAATAAAGCTTTACTGTACACCGGAGTTGCCCCCTGACAACCCCGTGGACATACGCTTAATCTGGAAGGCACGGAATGCGGTGATGCTGACTTGGCGACCTCCGACCCGCCTCAACGGTCGTCTCTTAGGCTATCGAGTTGCTGTCTTTCAGGCCTGGGGAAATACGAATGGCTCTTTTGCTTATTTGTCCTCAGGTAGACATCATTTTAAATTCTACTATGATCGTCTTAATGTATCACTTGGGGCCGATAACCTTAAGCCATTTTTGTAGGTAGGCGCCGATGAGATTACGTTGAAAACCATTTTATAGGTGATGTTTGTAGCTATTCTGAAGTCCTTTTCGTTTATATTTATCTGATTTTGTCGAATCTTTTTCCATAGCTACCTAATTGTTCTAGCCATTCATATTATTTTAGTGCGTTTCGGTATTAAGTCATTCTCGAGCGAAATACGTATCGAAATGGCTAGAAAACGCATGTTTTTTTTCTCTAAGCCTCAGTTTTGTAATGGTCTTGCAACAACTGATAACTGTTCTGGCAGCGATAATTTTGAGATAGGGCTTGATTCTACATTGAAATTAACCTAGTTTTACATCAGGCCATTCAGGCCATACAGAACTTTCGCAGTCGCTTCATTATCTCCTGAGCATTCCCAGCAGAATTTAAGCCATGGATGTCGGAATTCATTCAAATCTACATCACTGTTTCGGGTAAACAATTATCGCCAATTTAAGGTACCCGAAAGCCGTGAATTTCATGGTGGATGAGACCCTCTTCTGACTCGCATGTATCATGTGGATTTTTGTATCGATAGATAATCAAGCTCGGCAGGTCGCTTGCACATTATTACTAATCGATTGGTCAAAGCTATCAGAAATCTGATTTTTGTCACTATGTCCCTCTTTGATATAATCATAAATGCATTAAATAGTAGTCAACTGATTGCAATTGAAGCACTTATACCCATATGTGGGAGTTGGGGGTAGACTGCCTTGTTTTGAAGTTTAAATATTACGGAAAGTTTAGACGATACTCTTATTTTAGCATGAATTCGCAAAATAGCACTCCCTCAGATTCCAAACTGTTTTCGTACTCTGATCTTTTCTACTTCAATTTCCACGCATAAATCTATTGCGGATAATCATTACCTAAAAATTTGGACACGCACTTAGTTATCTCTTGAAAGATATTAGGTCAGCGCTAATACTCTACTAGTTCCTGGATCTACCGGAAAAGTAGCATGATTTTATTTTGACAAAATTTCTGTATGATATTTTATCAGACCCTGGGTCTCCACCATTGGCCCATTAGGATGATGATGCTATACTCAGGATGGTAGCAAATATGCCGTAAAATTTTTAATTATTTGCCAAAGGTACTACATAACAGCTAAATGTGTCTTTAGATTTATTGTGAATTTATATAGATAATTTATTAAAAGGATACCTCTCGCCGCATTCTGTTGTTTTCAGGGTTAGCTAAACACAATATCAGAACGACTATCCTATCCGATTCCAGAGAACGATTTAACCCTACTGATGCTTCCTGGTCAGGCCTGCTACGTCTTGGCGATCTTTATTCACAGGCCCTATCCCAGTCTAGCGATCAAAATGCTTTGGTGTGGTCTTCATCAGATTTCAATATCACTCTACTCGACTTCGTCGATGTCCCCTCTGAGTACTTTTCCTCCCTTGAAAAAGGCAATAATTCTTCCTGCTGTCCTAGTAAGACCCGTCTTCTCATCTCCTGGCTACCTTTGGCCTCCTCATTTCGACGCACCCATCTCATCCTTACTATATTGGCCCGAACCTCAGCAGGTTGGAGCGCTGGCCTCCATCTTAACGACAACGATGAAAAATACAATAACTTCGCCCATCCTTATAGGCCTGACTGCCATTCTCTGATCACACTGACTCTGGATGTGGCATCACAGAGTGAAGCTGGAAATGGTTTCGTTTTCGAGGGCTGTAACGAGTCCGGTCTGAGATCCGAGGTATTACCGCCGAGAGGAATATGTTACACATCCCTTTAATACACATATATTCATAAACACACATACATGCACACACATATATATACGCACCCATTTGGCTATCTTATTTGAT